TCTTTCTTTCTTTCTTTCTTTCTTTCTTTCTTTCTTTCTTTCTTTCTTTCTTTCTTTCTTTCTTTCTTTCTTTCTGTTTTTTTGAGACAAGGTTTCTCTGTACAGTCCTCACTATCCATGTAGACCAGGCTGGCCTCGAACTTACAGAGATCCACCTGCCACTGCCTCTAGAGAGCTGGGATTAAAGGCTCACATTTCCACAGAGGTCTTTTCACACTAGTTATTCAAGCGGAAAAGTCGAGGGAGGCTGTGCTCCCTCAGGGCAGACCCCTTATCACCCCCGTGGCGTGTTTGTTTTCTTAACTCTCACCCATAGGAAGCTGGGAGGTGGCCCGCTGCCTTTTATCCGGGTCTCTCAACCCCTCTTCCTGATCCTCCGCTGTTTGCTGTGGGCTGAACCAGAAAGCTGGAGTGACTGCTGTAATAGAAGCCATCTGCACCAGGCCACAACGGTCGCCAGGACACCATGGCCCCTCCCACTAGGCCACCTTGCCACTCTTAGATTTGAAACTGGGAGGGTGAGACCCCGGAATTGCCTCGGAAGGGAGGGTGCACCTTGGGTATCTTAGCAGGGCCAGGACAACAGCCTGGGTAGCTAGACTGTGGTTGGAGGTCAAAGGGCAGAGCACCTCGTCGGGTTTCCCCGCTTAAACCCAGTGCCCTTTGCCCTAGGGGGTGAGATCCGAGCTGAAGCCGGCCCCCTAGCTTGACCAATGAACTGACCATCACTGGGATGGGACGAGTAGGAATGGGCGGGACCATTCCTGTTTAACAAACAGCCTCCAAACTCCCCTTCCCATGCAGTCAGGATTCTAGAATTTTCTCTTTTTCCTCTTCCTTGCCTCTCCCGGGCACCTGCTCTCCCTCCTAGCACCTGCTGCCCAGTAGGAAGGGCAAGAGCAATTCCAGGCGGTGCACTGTGAGGAGTCTCCACCCCTCCTCCTGCGCTTCCTTCTCCAGGGCGCCGCTCAGGCTCCGCCCTCACCTGCCCAAGATAATTTTAGTTTCCCTGGGCCTGGAATCTGGATACGCAGGACTCGCTCCACATTCTCCCGCCTCAACATCCAAAGGCGGGTTACCACCTGTAGAGACGAGAGAGAGGATTCGAAATCCAATCCAAGTGTCTGGGATCTCTAGACAGAGCTAGACTTTGGGCCGGGTGTCCGGCTCCTTCTGCTGGAGTTGCTCCAGGTAAGCCGATCGAGATCGGTCTCAATCTGCTCCTACCCTCAGCCTCACCAAGGCCTCAGGTTGTGCCTGCTTCGAGCGGATCTGGCCTGCTGCCCAGTTAGATGGCTCGGAGGCTGCCAAGCTCTCCCCCTGACCGCCCTCTCTTGGCGAGGTCAGGCCAGAGGTGGGGAAAGGGGGGTGGGTGGTAGTTAAGGCCTGGAGTCTTTCTCCCTAAATCGGTGGCCTTAGGCAGGTCTGGGTAAAGACGGAAGCGGGAGCTTCATCTTGGCGGGTGAGGTGGGATGGGATGCAAGTTAGGTCTGGGTCCCTAAGGAAAGAGTCACTCTCCTAATGCTCTCTGCGCCGCATTGTTTGCATGTTGCTTGGCATCTCGAATCCTTCCCCTTCCTCACCTTGCTCCCTGAGACCTCTCGAGCCCCTCACGCTCCCACCTTCTCTCCCAGTGAATTTGTGAATGGGAGGTAAGGTCTCTCGATCACCTGAAATCTTGACTTTCCGGCTAAAATTAGTTCTTCTTATCCAAGACCAGTTAGTAGGGGGTGTCGGATCGGAGGTTGCCCTTCAGTTGAGCTCAACTTACTACAATCTGGGGTTCCCATTCAGAAGGGAGTAAAGGAGAGGGACTCCCGCAATAGCTGGAACTCTTTCGCTCCACGTTGTGGTCCCTCCTCAGATACGGAACCCTGAGGACCCCTCCTGGCTGAACCCTGAGGACCCCTCCTGGCTGCAAATGAGCGTGGACAAAGAAAGCTAGAGGGGTGGGTGTAGTGTGAAGGTCTGCAGTTCAGGGCCTGGAAGACAGTGTATGGTGGGGGATGTGGGCCTGGCTGAGGAGGCTGATGCTGGGGAAAGACCTACGTTCACGTTTGGGTCTCCATGGCAGGATGGGGACAGAGCACATCTGAGGGCCAGGTGATAGTATTTTCAACCTTTTTTTCCCCCTTGTCCCCCAAGAATGCAATGCCTTCTGGGTTATGAGTTGTTTAGCTTGGACTCTGTTCTCCCCCAATAGCACGTGCTTGTGTGTGTGTTCTCCCCGAAGGCAAACTAATGATTAACTCTACAGAGAACTCTAGCATTCTTTCCAAATTAAACATTAAAAGAATTGTCCCGCCCCACTTTATTCCATTGGATGTTTTTTTTTTCCTGGTGGAGTGGGTGGAGCATCAACTTAGGGTCAACTAAGGGTTTCCCACCTCCTCACCTGGTCCAGGTACCAGGGAAAGGTTAAGCCCCCTCTTCCCTCCCCAACTCCTGATGGGTGTTAGCTTCTTGTGCTGGACCAGAACCGGATCTCAGGCTGCCCAGGCCACCAGCTCAATTGTCTGCCCCACCAACCCTTCCCCTCAGCTTGTGAAGAGTGGATGATGGCCTTGTTTGCAGTTGGCCCCAAACATTAGGCCTTGCCACTCGCCCTTGGGGCTTTCTAGGTGGGGCAAGATTCAGGAAGTAAACAAGGCAGCAGGGAGGGTAGGAGAGAGGGTGGGGCAGGAGCTGCTGGGGCTGGAGAGCCAGAGTTTAGTGTCACCTGGCTGAGAGGACAGATTGGTTGGGGGACCAGTTTCTTCAGAGGAACCTTTGCTTAGGTCCTAGTTTGAATGTTTTACATCTCTCGGTCAAGGGCTGCCAGGCCCACAGCAGGCTCCCCTGCCTCAGCTCAAATTTTAGTTACCTGACCTGTCCATCTGAAGGGGGCAGTGGAGGGATCTGGAAGCCAACCCTAGTTTAGCCTGAGCCTGAGCTTCTAACATCAGACTATAATCTGACTTCAATCTACTTCCTCCCCTTTCAAACACCTGCCTAACTGGGTGTTGTTTTCTCCCATTTGAGGGAGGGGCACCCTTGCAGACGCTCCCATCTCTGCCTGAAAAGGGAGATTAGGTGAGTGGGAGTGGGTGCCGGGTGTTGATGTCCCTTGCTTGGTGTCTTGAGGATGCTAAGTGTCAGGTGTGTCTTGCATGCTCTACTTGGGTCTCCTGGGGGTGCTTTCCTGTCTGCTTGCCTGTCCTCTTGGGTGTTTTAACTCCACTCCTGCCTGGTGGTACCCGGCAGGTCAGGATATCCCAGAGTGTGTTCAGAGACCCTCTTTTTACAGAGCAATACACCGGAGTCTCTGGGACCAGATACATACTCTCCATCATATATCTTGGGGGTTGTTAACAGCAAAGAGAGTTATAGGTTACAGACTCAGGCCAGGCAGGGCTGAATGCTGCTTGTCTGTCACCAGGAGGTGGGCTCCAATCCTGATAGGCCTCTGGATCCAGGCCGGGTGTTTCCTCTCTCCTTCCTGGGCTATGGGCAGGGAGATGGTTCAGGACTAGAGGTGGGAAGATGGTGATTCCCACCTGGGCTGGACACTGGCCAAGGATGGGGAGGGTGACCTCAGAGGAGCCTCAGGCTGCTCCGCCTCACATCTTCATCTCTCCCCAGCCCGCACCCCTTACTCCCAGACTATCTGTAGGTTGGGAAGTCGGGGATGGAGGGCAGAGGCAGGTTGTTTGTGTTCCTTCTCAGCCAGGAAGTCCTGTGGATGAGTCAAGGTTGGATGGAGAGCCTGAGGCATCGCTGTCCCGCCCCGCCTTGACTCACCTGTCCCCCAGATCCCTTCACGCCCTCATGGAAGGGTCAAGTGTTTGTCCTATTCTGGTTGGAGGGAGCCCTGGGTGTCCTGGGTAGCCTCACAGTCCTGGTGAGGATGTCGGTAAAGCAGGCAGGGTGCTAGGATTGGCATTTTGACTCTGCCAGGCTCAGCACCAAGGGTTGGCTGGTTCCTGCAGGGAAGGGGCTGGAACTCCCCCATCCCAAGATCTCTTTGCCCGGTCTTTCCTGTCCTTACTTGTTCTATCGTCTCTGCACCCGTGGGTGCTAAGGCATAGGTGACACTCCGGTGTGTATGCCAGGTGCTTTCAGACCAGGGAAAGGATAAGACAGGTGCCCAGTAATGGGGGCAGAGTTCCCAGCACACGGCTGAGTGTGGCAAGTCCAAGAGGATTTCTCATATGTAGGAGGTGGCGTTCTCATTGAAGCTTCTGGAAAAAAGTTGGGCAGGATGAGGACTCTAGAAAGGCACTCAGTCTAGAGGCTGCTGGGGTAAGAGCCTCCAGGCTAGGCCTTCCGCACCCACCACAACTTGGGCACACTGTCCTGCCATCCTGATTCTCGTCCTTCCCCACCCCCCTCTCAGTATCACTCGTCACCCAGCCAGGTGCTACCACAACAGGCTTGGCAACTGCATCTGGCAGTGAGGTGCCAGGATGGCAAAGTGCTGGGAAAATCTGGGCCAGAGCCCAGTGAAATGAGCGACCTTTGCCTTGACTCAGTGGTTGTAGCTAGGAGCGTGAGGTACGGAGCCTGCCCAGTCTTCCCAAGCTGGAGGCCAAGCACTGGCCTTGGAGTCCCAAGCACTGGACTGACAACCACTGGGAACACACACGCATGCTTCCATATAAAGTACACACGACCCGTTCTCTGAGGGTTCAGAGGCAGCCGCAGATTGAAGGAATCAGCGGCAGCCTGTGACGTCAGCAGCTTGGCATTTTCTTCATAGGTGCCATGGAACTGGATCTGAGCCCATCTCATCTCAGCAGCTCCCCAGAAGATGTGTGTGCAACTCCTGGGACCCCTCCTGGGACTCCTCCGCCCCCGGATAACCTTCCGCCAGGGGATGTGAAGCGGTCGCCCCCGGATAACCTTCCGCCAGGGGATGTGAAGCGGTCGCAGCCCTTACCCATCCCGAGCAGCAGGTAGGATGGGGCAGTGGGACTGCATGGGTAGGGAGGCCAGCCAGCGCTGGCTGACACAGGGGCTTCTGTCCCTCACTTGTTGCCATAGGAAACTTCGAGAAGAGGAGTTTCAGGCGACCTCTCTACCCTCCATCCCCAACCCGTTCCCTGAGCTCTGCAGCCCACCTTCACAGAAACCCATTCTTGGCGGTTCCTCCGGTACAAGAGGGTTGCTTCCTCGGGACTCCAGCCGCCTCTACGTGAGTTGTTTTGGAAATGGGAAAGGTGGGGACAGGCCTCTTTGGTGCAAGAGGGGGAGTATTCTGGCCCCTGAGGACGGGGTAAGTCAGAGAGTAGAATCCCCGCTGCCTTTCTCCAAGTCACCTGCAGTTCTTGGGGTACAGGTGGTGAAAGTGTACAGTGAAGATGGGGCCTGCCGGTCTGTTGAGGTGGCATCGGGCGCCACGGCTCGCCACGTGTGTGAGATGCTGGTGCAGCGAGCTCACGCCCTGAGCGACGAGAGCTGGGGCCTGGTGGAGTGCCACCCCTATCTGGCACTGGGTGAGTTGAGGTACAAGGAGCTTTGGGGCATATCTTCCGTTTTGGGCCAGTAAGTGGCTCATCTCTGAGGCTTAATCTCTACCAACCCGTTTTTCATCCTTGTTCCCAGAGCGGGGTTTGGAGGACCACGAGTTTGTGGTGGAGGTACAGGAGGCCTGGCCTGTGGGTGGAGACAGCCGTTTCATCTTCCGTAAAAACTTTGCCAAGTATGAACTATTCAAGAGCCCTCCAGTGAGTGTGAGAGAAGCTGGGTACACACACACACACACACACACACACACCCTCTGGACCCCCAGCCTGGATTCTTGAGTTCTGATCCCTCATTTCTTTCTTCCCCAGCACACCCTGTTCCCAGAGAAGATGGTCTCCAGCTGTCTGGATGCACAAACAGGCATATCCCATGAAGACCTCATCCAGGTAAAGTCTTACCAATATCCCCCACTTCACCATATATCCACAATGCCCCTAAGAGTCATCCGGTGTGTCACCCCCCTGCCACCATGCCATGTGTATGTAATCTGTGTGGTTTGTTGGTGTCCCCTCCCCCACCATGGTGACCTTGCCTGTGAATTTGTGACAGTCATTTCTGGTACAGCACCTCCTCCCAAGGCCTGAGAGGAGGCCAGCCTTTCATGCTCTGCTCACATCTGTCCTCAGAACTTCCTAAATGCTGGCAGCTTCCCTGAGATCCAGGGCTTCCTGCAGCTGCGGGGATCAGGCCGGGGGTCAGGTCGAAAGCTCTGGAAACGATTCTTCTGCTTTCTTCGTCGATCTGGCCTCTACTACTCTACCAAGGGCACCTCCAAGGTGAGGGTGTGAGGGTCAGCTCCAGCCTGTCATGTACTTCCTCACTGGTACACCTAGACTCTTCCACCTCAGACCAGGGGACCCTCAGCTGCTCCTCCCTCCCCTTGGGCTGGCTGTCTCCAGGCCCTGCCTGCACCTTTCTGCCCCAACCCATTTGGGTCACCTACCCCAGGAGTGACAACAGAAAAGATAGGCAACTTGAATTAGCCGCTGCTTGTGTGTGTGTGTTTGTGTATATGTTCCCGTGGAGTATGTCTCTGTGTGTCTGTATGTGTGTGTGTGTGTGTGTATGTGTATGTATGCCTCTGTATGCATGTCTGTGTGTGTCCCTCTGTGTGTATCTGTATGTCTGTGTCTTTGTGTGTGTTTGTCTGTGTATACCTGTGACTCTGTGTGTGTGTGTCTGTGTGTACCTGTGCCTCCGTGTGTGTGTGTGTCTATGTGTAATTGTGCCCCTGTGTATGTGCCTGTGTGTGTCTCTCTGTGTGTTTGTATGTCTGTGACTCTGTGTGCCTGTGC